ATCATGTAATTAGAGGTCAGCTCGTATATGCACTTTTAATTCCACACTATCAATATTACCAACATGGTGATCCTTTGAACGACGGGATTGGTAACGCCACTTCAAGCAGTGTCCTGAAATGTGTTTAGTATTATATATAAAAAGTTAATATGCAACATTTTTAGGTCGTATTTTAAAGAATATTAATGAACAGTCTAACATCTGTGTGAGTTCTGTATTTAGTTCTCGGTTTGCTGGTGATAAATGATGTACCATTGGCGATGGTTATGTGAACGTTTGTGCAGGGCCAGATCTTAAATATACCTATAGATTCCATAGTTTCATTTTATACTCTAACAGGTATTAAAGTGGCTACGTTGAGGTTATATAGGGAAAATTTAACAATGTTGGACTCTCTACCAGTAGAAATTGATAAATAAACAGATCACAGAAGATTAAATTCGTGGGTTGCTTGTTACACACACAAAACGTCTTTCTTGTAACTATAATTCTATACAATACTTTCAGGACTTCTGGTTAAATATTAATAATTTTAACCTCCGTTACATCTGATGTTGTTAAGGTATTTTCGCTATTTTTTTCAAAACATCTTCCTGTGTTGCTACGATATGAAATGCATCTTCATTCCTAAGTAATTGAATTTTTTGTTGAAATATTATTGAATGCTTTAAATATGGGAGGCAGATTCGCTAAGTTCTTTACAGTAAACAATGTTTTATCTGTTTCTCAACCCTTATATTACTTTAATAATCATTCTTACTTAAAACAACGTACTATTAAACCACCTCTTTCTATGGAGTTTTCGGAGCGCTGTGTACTTTTATCTGCATTACAGAATTTACACTTTGCAGGACCGTTTTCATGCACTTGAATATGGGCGTAAATGTATTATACGATTCCAACTTGCTAATTTTTCCTCTGGAAAACAGTTACTTCTAGAAACACTTCTGTAAGAACAAGTTTCTTCTTGATTCATCTTACTCCGTCTAACTTGAAACTTCACCATCAAAATTATTATTAGGCCTACTTACAATGTTATTTACGTTATTTCTCTTCTCTGCCGGGACGTACTGATTATTATTTTTGCTTCTGTAAACACGTGTACTTACCTCTGTGCTAAACACAGTAAAAAAGAAGAACAAATAAAGTTAAGACGCCAGTCTAAAGGATAGGAGGGAATAAATTTTCCATCTGGAGGAGAAACAATCCTTTAAAGACCTAAAATTATAAAATGTATAGATTTCTTGGCCAGGAAAATATAAATAAAATTCGGCTAGTCATCAACTTCAACATAACATTTAAATTATATTTAACTGCTTTCGTGCGTGCGTTTACATGAGCATGGATCCGTAATGTTATAAAATAGACTATTACTACCAAAATTAGCCAAAAATAAGAGAGTGTATTTTTTTACCAAGATCATATTACATCTCCTTCAGACCCAACCTCTTGAGAATAACGTACATAAATTTCCGTGTTTTGTAATGCAGGGAATATTTGGACAAATTAAGCTCCTTTCTGCTACTCCAGAATGGTTATACTCCATGGCGTTTGTTATGGCTTGATTTATCACTTGACTGGGAATGTTCTGCTAAAAGAATGATAATTGTGCCTGGTAATAGAAGTAGTTTTAGCACCAATTTGCACTGATCCTGCTGTTATTTATAGGTTAATTTTTTGTTCCAACAAATTTGTATAAAGCTTTCCTTTCTGCAGTTAAAGAAATGGTAAATATTATGAAGGATTTCAGGCGACGAATGTGAAGACAGCTGTCTTCTACGTTTGTAGGGCCGTGTGATCTTTTAGCAGTTTATTGACGTTTCAGAAGTACCTGCTGCGTCCATCATTAGGGCGACGAGTAAACTCTGATTGCGAGCATTCACTTCTGAAACGTCCGTAAAATTTACCATACTACTAGGTGCTACAACCCAGAGGACAGACATCTTTACGGTAATTACTATTTATGTGGACTCTTATTTTGTGGCAAGAAATTGCATTTAGAAACAGAATGTTTAGGGAAACGTTTGAATGTATAAGAAGAATGAAGTAAGTACAGTAGATATTAAACAATTTTGAACGTAGTGCTTCATACGTTCACCTCGAGCTCTTAGAATGGTAAAATATAAGAGACTACAATTTTGAGACAAAACATGTATGCCGAATTTTTATGCGGAAATGGGGAGTACGTAGAATTGGCTCAGGATTTTGCCATTGGCTGGCTTTCGTGATTGAAATGTGGAGTCTTTGGGTTCTACTACCAGAGAATAATTTCAGTACAAACGATTCCAAAATATGGGGTATTTAGTATCGCGTACAGCGTATGCTCGGGTATAAATGGGTTACAGTCTATAAACAGGGGGTGTACATGGAAAATGGAACAATATAAAATATAATTCATTAGTAGAGAGTACAAATGAAATACAAAACCTTTAAATAACGAAATAAATTATTATTATTATTACTCTATACTGAATACATTATTCCATGCATTTTCTGTATACGTGAGACAATGGATTTCTTCCTTAGGCGTGTTTTATGTTACTTATTATAGTACATTAATGTTAATAATAATAATAATACTAATAATATTTTTAAAGATAGCATTCGTTGTATTGTGTAAATAATTATAAATACTACGTGACGCAATGACACACATTTGTCACTTGTATTTGGAATATTCATGAATTCTCATACGCCATGAACACAGTTTACTTTCCCCTCGTGAGATTTCAGGTTCTCACGATGACAGTTATGAAGATAGTTGTCTTCTGGAATTCTGCACCGTATAGTCTGTCACACACTGACTGACGTTTCAGATGAGCTTATTGTTGCCGTCATGAGGGCGATAATAATTTTGGAAGTTATAAGTTCATCTAAAACGTCTGTAAATATCTACCAGATTGTACAATGCAACTTCTCAGAAAATAGTTATCTCCTTACATGTCTGATGTTGTATTTCAACATTACTTTACTTCAGATTCATACAGTCATATAACATTAATCATTATAAGTTAGAGTCATTATGATTCTGTTGATGTCGGTGGGATAACGTTTATAAGTTTAACCTACATTAGGTTTTTCATAGACACTATATGTAGTTTCCAGGTTAACCCTTCTGGTATCCAAAGTCGTAGGCATCGATGCTATGGTAGCCGTCACCGAATCGCATACTTCAAGGTCACGGAAGAACTTCCCCGCCCCCCTTACGCAAAGCTCTAACTCATCAGTAGGGCTTTGTCAGCTTTCCACTTTTATTCAAGACCTGTCTTTAATCGCCTGTCTCTGCTATACGTGTTGCGACGTTGTACGATTTTTATGTGACCTTAAAGTATACAGTTTGCTGGTTATTTTCTGACTGATAGTTGCAAAGGAATTTCCATTAAACCGAATCTTTCATAAGGAAAGAGTCATTTGCAATCATATTTGAGGTCCGAGAAATAATAGAGTATTGCAATATAAATTGAACAAATTGGAATTAATCTCAATAAATATTGAATTGTTCTTTTGACTTTGTTTTACCTACAGTTGTCTGACAGTCGGAGACTAGCTTTGAAATAAATAAACTACTAAATTCACTGACCCGTATAATTCCAATATAACTCTGTTTTGATTGTAGGTGAAATCAAACTGTATAAATCTTTATTCAAAGAAAAAATTGGTACCTAGTGTAAAATTTGATACGTTTACGATAAGGCGATCATTTAAAAATCACGTGAGAAAATGCATTTCTCTGCTCATAATTAAATTTGTCACTAATAGTGTTTCTCTGTGTAATAAAATTTTCTCTCTCCTTCCTGGCACAAGATCGCAACGCACAGGGAATAAGAGGAGAAAATCCTAAAAGACGCGTTAGAACATTACAATATTTGTTACCCACTTCACAAAAGCTCTCAGGCGAAAGAAGCATAGACATTGATTTGTATCAGAAATGAAGTAACAAGAAGAAAACTTAAACTTGTATACTGTATTGAAATACTCCTTTCAAATCTCGTTTTCTACCAGCTCATTTTTCTTTGTAAGATTTGAGGCTTTCATAGCGGTGAGTATGAAGATTTCTAAACGTTGTTAAACATCTACCAGACTACACATCGCAACAACACAGAAGACAGAAATCTTCATCGCCCTGATGACGGAGGCGGTATGACCTCAGAAACGTTGGTAAACATCGACCAGACTACACAGCGCAACAACCCAGAAGACAGAAATCTTCATTTTTCTTTGTTTCATCCCTCATGTTACATATTTCTGACCGCGGCGCCCTTTTTTAAAAACGAACTTCGTTTATGATTTTAAGGTTTTTTGGGCAGTGAGGATGATGATGAAGTTCGAGACAATAAGTTACTCCAAAACACCGGCGTCTACCGACGAGACTACACGGAACCAAAACCCAAACAAACAACATAATCAAACTTTGACTGTGTGCAAAAATGTGCTTTCTCAGGTGGGTTTCTAAGTATCACCGATCGCCGTTTGTTGTCTTTCCTGCTACGTGTTTCGTGCATTATAAATCAGGTAGTGACTGATGTATTTCGTGTTCTTAGTTCCCCGAATAAATGTTGATCATTACTTCGATACTGATCATGATCTAGCCCTTCCAAATTAATCTTTTTATTTATTTCTGTTCTTTTAATTACGCTGTTGACAGTCAGTAAATGTACCAACGAGGAAACGAACATTTTTTATGGAAACTGAAGTAACGCCAGTCAATCAAATGTGCCCGATGAATTCATCATCGAACATTTTATTGACTTCTAATCCTAAAAAAATAGTTATTTTACCGGTGATAAAACAATCTGAAGGCAATTTTATGTGAAGATATCCGTCTTCTGGGTTATTGCGCTGTGTAGTCTGGTCGATGTTAACCAACGTTTCATAGGTCATACTGCCTCCGTCATCAGGGCGATGAATATGCCAATAGGGTGTGATGAGCTGGATTTATAGGCCGGGAAGTGAAAGGTGTAGCCTGCCCCGAGCCAATGGGAGCAGGTAGGCAGTATGACCTCTGAAACGTTGGTTAACATCGACCAGACTACACAGCGCAATAACCCTGAAGACGGATATCTTCATACTCACCGCTGTGAGAACCTCAAGTCTTACGCAATTTTATGTATTTTTACTCTTGACAACATGGGATAAAGCACGTATATTATTCGTTATGGAGTTATACTCTGGCTTTTTGTGTGTATGGCATTTTGTACTTATTTTATTTTCTTATCGAGTTCGCCGAACGCCCCATGCAAATGCTGGGCTAATACCGCAAAGCAAACGATCATGTTCCACCTTATCATTACCAATTCAGTATTTATTGCCCATCCTGTCATTCGACGTTTTATAGTCTGAACTACTGACAATCCCTTAAATTAAGCTTAAATAAAGTTAATTTATCGATCTCTGCGCAAATATGAGAAACCTTCGCGAAGAATTATTCAGTGTTAGCTCTCACTTAGTATTCTGCAATCCATAACTGTATTTTGAACTCTTACCGAATTAGATTGGTTGGTTGGTTTTAAGAGACGAGTGATGTTTTTGTAACCATTTTATAAAGATTTATTTGTTAAACCGCCATTGACCGATTTATGTTGCTTTTTTGAAGACATGCATTTGTGCTCTAAGTAATCTGGATTAGGAGATGCAAGTTACCGAATGTTTATATTTCGGCATAATTTTGAATTTGTAGCTTTTTACGTTGATCTAAATTTGTTACAGAATATGTGTGGTTATGATGTTTGATTCGCAAAATTAGCATTAAACTACGGAGTTTTGTTTTTTTAAATGAATTAATATTTTACGGTTTGCTTGGAAGAAACGGATAATCAACTTTTTAAAAAGATGCATTTGAATTTGAGGTTACGTATCCGAGAAATACTAGTAATTTAAGACATATCGCGTGATTTTGGTTACTGAAAGTTCTGTTAAAAGGAACGGCATACGCGCGCGCATGCGGTCGAACAGTTTTTATGCTTTTGGCACACAAAGCACCCTTCGCAACATTGAACTTTCAGACTGCACCTTTTACTCTGTTGTCACAATTGATTCTAAAATCTTTCCTTGTGTAGCGGTCCTAGCAATGTTCTCGCTTCAGTTTGTAGCTTGCTTTCCATATCTCGAAGAGGCAGATAGTTGAATGGAACCTATAGAAAATGGCCAGCGGCATAGAGATGTGGGTGATGACTGTCCATGGCCAAACGCCGAAGAACTTGAGGTGCTGAGGGCTATATTCAGCATGTCCCTTCTGCATAACATTGATCATCCACACGGCAGCGTTAGCTACCAGCAGGAAAGAGATGAGTTCGCGGCCGGGTTTTCGCCTCCTGTCGGCCTTCGTTCTACAGCGCCTGCTGGAGGCGTCTAGGACTAGGATTGTCTGCACCGTCGTCTGCATAAGAGCAAGTATCTCAATTGCAGCGCCACCTGGCACGTCTGTTTTCTCAGCATAGTTGAAACCGATGATGGAAAATATGCAGTACACATACATTCCAGCTTGAGCCATGACCAACAGAGAATTGTCCAGACCCAGACCATGCCCTGTCTCTGCAAAGTAACAGCACATTGTGAGATTTAAGGTTCTCACGGCGACGATTATGAAGATAGCTGTCTTATGGGAGAATCGCTTTGATAATGAAGGCAGCAAACATTTCTGAAACGTCGGTAAACTTATACCAGGCTATACGGCGCAACAGCCCAAAAAACAGCCGTCCTCTAACAGTTCATTGGCTTCAGTATTGTGGTAAAGTGTTGATAAGAAAAAATGTGATTAAATGCGTTCGCACTGTGACCACAAATAGGTGGACTGTACCCGACAAAGATCCTGACAAAGATGGTGTGAGTGGTTATAAAGGACAGTCGGACGTTAGTGGAATGTTGATTGGCGGCAGAAAACACAAGAAAGTGGAGAAATGTTTGCCTCATGACCACTTCATCAACAAGAAATCCGACATTAAATACCCTGAAATTTAATCCGGGCATCGCGGTGCGAACCAACTACCAACCGCCAAAAGTGTAGCACAATCATTACTGGACGAAACTGAGGTGTACGACTCACGGAATCATCCTTATGAAGTCTTAGATAATGGGCTCTGTTTCCGTTTGGGTTGTACGACGCATTATCTACATATTTTCAGGTACCGTTAATGAGATACGCCGTTTTATGGCCTTGAAGGCTTCGTATATTTTTAACATTTAGCCTTTTTACTCGATATCATAAGGTCGCGTGTGTCTACTACTAAGTTTACGTACTTCACCGACATACCTGCAGGAAGTACTCTGATCCGGACCATGCACGCGAGCACTGCGAGGGTGCAGAGAATGTAAATGCACATCTCACATATGCTGACCTCGTACACAGCGAGTTGTACGTAATTTTCTTCATTGTGCAGAACTAAGAAGAGAACCAGGCTGATGATGGTGAGGACAAGCACGAGGATACCAGCACATAGGCCCTTCTGGGAGCTGTCGCAGTCCAGTGTGAAGTGGTGTGCAGACCGCAGCCCGTCTGCAAGAGGACAGACATCCGCGTGTTGAACTACTGATAGGAATAAATGCACTGATGACATATGGGGGCGTGCAACAAACGTTATAAACTCTGCTGTTTCATGTTCCGGAGATCACAGGTCCGTGTTAGACCCGGAGGACAGATTTCCTGACTCGGATTTTTCGTTGTTCTCCTAAGTCCCTTGAAGAAGAAGCCGGGATAGTGCCGTAAATTAGTATATGACTTCTCTCTTCCACATACCTGTCAAATTATTACGCAATATTCATTAATATCAGTGAACGTGCATAGTGTGAACTGCTGACAGCTTTGTAAATGCACCTTAAACAAAATTAAAAAGAAATTAAATATTTCCACGAGTATTATTACCTCCTGGCTGATTAAGTATGGGTCTTATCACGGAAATTAAGTGATGTGTTATGACTTAGGCTTATTATGTTCTTACTCAGACTATTGCTGCTAAAATCTCGTCCAATGCTTTGGCTGCACACGTGGTGGGTTACCCTGATAGGGGGCGGAATCCGGATGTGTTTCCACATCTCGTACAGGGTCACTGCACAGATCAGGCTGTACTCTACAGTGCAGGGAAACAGGTAGGGACTGGACTTCTGCACCAACATTCCCACGATGTTGGTTCGGGAACAGAGATGTGAAGGTACGCCACGCCTCAGTCTGTGCAGTTCGGTTGTGTTGAAAGCGGCGTCCGTTTCGTTAGCTTCCTCGTCGTTCGCGTGATCTGAAACATCTGAACGGCACACGAATTGCAGAAGACGATGGTTGACATTTCAAGTTATCACAGCGGCGAATATGAATATGGCCGTGATCTGGGTTGTTGAGCCGTGTTGTCTGGTAGACGTTTACCAAAGTTTCAGAAGTTTTTGCTGTGCTTGCTGCTTCCACTGCCCTGATGATGGAGACAGCATGTACCTCTAAAAAGTCGGTGAACTTTTACCACCATACGCAGCGCAACAACCCGCAAGACAAACATCTTCGAGATGATAATTATTCAGAAGTCCAAGATGTATCTTGATGGTTTATTACCGTTGCCTGTCACTCTATTCTGTCCTCAGACAGATGTGACCACACGCTTACATCTATTTTTTAAAGACTGGCTTCTATATTATCGTAACATTTATGCCTGCATATATGTATATATTCCTTCCCATCTCCCACATGCATACTATAAGATCTTCCCATCTCACATATCTGAATTTGATCACAATTTACATGAGTACAAAACGTAGGGCTCCTTGTGTAGTTTTTTCCCATTTCTTGTTTCTTTATCTTTCATGGGTTCATTCTTTCCTGAGCTCTTGGTTATCAGACATTATTAGTCAGTGTTCATTGCATATAACAAAAACAGTAATTTTTAAAAGTAACTCGGCAAGTGCATGTTTAATGATGCTTGTGGATTCAGTCTACTCACCGTAATGACTCAGATGTTCTATCTCGTGTTTGGTTTCCTCTACCAGCACGTACAGCCATTCGCACAGGTTAGTGGCGATCATGTGCATCAGGCCGAACCGCGCCACCGGAACGTAGCGCCCCATCTTCAGATCCTGCAACAACGTAAGCGAACACAGTAGTAGGAATGTGTCTGCTCCTATGCTCGTGACGCCTGACCATAGGAGTGCGCCATTAATGCGATGTGTATAAAATGCAAATTAAGTTCTGACGGCGCAACACTGGTAACAAGAAATGCAAACGACACTCTGGTGTTGCCTGTAGTGGAGTATGGCAGAATATGAGTTTGGCGAGAGTCAGGAGGAAGACAGTCGATTTTGTGTTGGTGCGTTTTGGCAGGAATCTCGTTCCAGTCGCCGTGAGTTTTCATATTCAATTTGCGTACAAAAGAAATGTTGTACATGTTGTAAGTTTTAATGCTACTTGCAAGGATAATGGTACAATTAATTTTAATATTATTAAATACAAGAAGGGTCAAATCCCGTCAATTTTGACGGGTGAAGCAACAGTGATTTTAAGGAGAACATTCCTGTGCCAAATCTGAACTTCTTCTGAGTGTTGACTCAGCACTCTTCGTATGCTTAGAAGATTGTCGAAAGAAGTATTTATTAATAATTTAGGTGGTTGTTATATTGTAAACTGTTGTAGTATCATTTGGTATTGAAAATTTTATGGGGTTGGTAGTACAAATATGTTCGGGGAATTCTTCCTACCCTTCAGTTCAGAATCCTTTGTCTTTCCGCCTGCTGCCTAAAAATGTAAAGATTAAAATATTCAAAACTATAATTCGGCTTCTTACTTTGCGTGGCCTTCACGTTAAGGAAAGAACACAAATTGATGGTATGTGAGAGGACACATTTTGTTGTTAAGAAGGGTTTAGCGTTAAGGGACTCCTGAGAACTGAATAATTAGGAGATCATAAATTTATACTCTTCACCAAGGACATCGAGGACGGTGAGATTTGTTTGTCATGTAACACACATTACGTAGATCAAAATGCATACAAATTTTGGTTTGGAAATCTGAATGGAAGAGACCATCCAGAAGATCTGGGCGTAGATGGGGAATAACATTAAAATGTTATGTATAGAAACAAGGTGTGAGGTTAGGGACTGGTGGCGGACACTTGTGGACACGGTAATGAATTTTTTGGTTCCGTAATATTCCGGACATTTTTTGATTGGCTGAGCATTCTATTAGCTCCAGAAGAAGGACTCTTTACCATAGAGTTGATTAGTCAGTACACTCTTTGAATTTGCAGTTAGACTGGACAGTTTCTGTTACGCACTTTGTTGTTGAGGAACATGAATTGTATTTGCATGAGTGTCAGCAACATTCTGGTTGCCGACCTGAAGACCAGAACTGTGTCGTCACAATGGGAGTCCCTTGCGAAGTATTGCCCGAACTCCAGCCCAGAGTACACCATACTTCCGATACCGAACCCTGTAACAAAGTGTTACATGTAACATAGTTAAACAAATAAACTGTTGAGACAGTATTGAATAATGAATTTGGAAGTATGTGGAAAGAAGTGTTTTAAACGTATTTTAATCTAAACTAATCTAGATGTCGCCTGGAAATAACGAGGAAAATCACGCAGCTGATTGGTGTACTAAATATCGAACCCGCAAAGAGTGAGTATTAACCACCGCGGTAATGTCGTTCTTGGGGAAAGTGGTTGAGATGCTGGAAGGCGGGTGTAACTAGCAGAGAATCGTGTCCGGTGGCGAAACCCAAAATAGAAACAATATTATACACAAAGAAAAGTAAATGAAGAAATATAAATAAAAGAAAGTAATCCACCTAGGGAACGTAAAGTAAAGTAAAGTAAAGTTTGTCCCACAAAATCCTCTGCCCCCGTCGGGGATCGAACCCCGGTCGTCCAGCCCGTAGCTAGTCACTATACTGACTGAGCTATCCCGGCTCATAATCCACCTAGGGAACAATAATATAAACGTAAAACATTAAAGAAATACGAAAAACAGGTAACCACGCTAAATCGTCTATCAAGACAACCTATCTAGATCATTTCCCTTATTGAGAATGTGCCCTCAAGGGAGACAATGTTTAATAATAATAATACATCTCAGGAAATAGCTTATAGCAGGGAATATTTACTCACCCATCGCTCCAAGTCGCAAGTAGAAGCTTCCATATCGCACGATGTCTTTCTTATAACACGAATCCGGGCACTGACACACAACGCCTGTCCTTCCTGAGGAAAATAACATGGAGATCACCGGTTAATTTAACTGTCAAGATCGCTGGTTATTTAACTATGAAAATCACTGGTTGTTTAACTATGATCATTGGTTAACTGAACTATCTGACACGCACTTATGTATAAATTAAAACAATTCTATCTAGGTTACACGCCTAAAAAGAATATCAAAATCATTAATGTACTTAACGCGTTTGCATGAATGGGAGCTGTGTATAGGATGTACGTAAATGTGTTTATAAAGAATAACATATTCCCCAGTTTACTGATCTGCTTGACGTGTATTTAAATGTATGAAACTGGTTACTTGTGGTCTTGACATTATATGCATGTAAGCGTAAAATATAGAGGATGTTTGTTAGGATATGTCCATATCGGATACAAATACCATGCTCAGTAGATTACTTAAGCCTTTAACGTATATTCACGTACTGAGTTGCGTATAGGATAAACGAAAATATACGCCCGTAGCAATTGAAGTTGCTTTACATCATCTTATATATTAAAATGATGTAAGGTGTTCACCGAGGTTAACTGATTCATAATTGTCTGCTGTTGAGATTATGTGATATCAACGACGAATGTTACCGTAAAACTTAAGGAAAAGGGCATTTGGGTTTCCTAGGCTTAAATGGAAACATAATGCATCTTAAAGGAATAAAATGTGAGGGTGTGGACTGGATTCATCTGGATCAGGATTGGATCCAGTAGTTAGTTGTTCTGAACGATGTAACAAGCATGGCAGTTCAGTAAAAGGAAAAAAAGTTTTTCGTAAGCTGAACGATTATCAGAATAATTCATTACCACGGAGTTAGTCCGGTAACGCCCTTCAGACCCAATAAGGTTTCAGATTTTTACGGCCACGAGCATGGATTGTTGCGACATGTAGTGTGGTAGAGATTGACCAACGCATCAGAATTGCTTACTGCCTCCGTAATTAGGGTGGAAGCCCTGATGGTGAAGACAGTAAGCACCTCCGAAACGTGTGTCAATTTCTATTATGCTACACTGCGCAATATGCCAGAAGACAGCCATTTTGAGTCTTTGGATTCCATTACGACAGGTGTCCTTATGAACTGAGTAAATCTCTAATTACAGTGAAACATGAGTTACTAATTTTAACCTTGAATCAATTTTAATGGCGTAAGGCTTTTACTTACTGTGTCTGCTGATTATGTTATTGACTGCTCTTTCCTTAAGTGTCATGGCGTATAAGAAACACATGAAGGTTATGCTTCCTAGGTACAGGTACAAGTAGAAACCCTGAAACATTCAAAGAATCTACTTAGCATTTGAAGTCAATTTTCAAGAAAATCTATAATATGCTGTTGGCATCAACCTTTGTTACTGCGTTATTATGCGTTCTCTGCACTATAGCGAAAGCGTAAAATACCTTATGCGTTCGTCCACCTCACTGCAACATGTTGTCACTGTGATTTTGGATTGGATTGTTGCAACAATTTCTTCGTTGCTACAATTACCTTAGATGCTATTGTTACTGACAGAAGGGCGAGGACCTGACGTGTTGCCGCCAAAAACGGTACTGTACCTGGTAGAAGGAAAGTGGCACTTGGGGTGCAAGACCTTCAGTCACCGGGAACGCCACCCCAAGGACGACCAGAAGCTTCGCGTAGAGGGCGGACAATGCGCAAACGAGTGTGTTCCTGAAAACAGGAAACGGAGTTAAAATGGAGGTGATAATTAGTGTCGGACATCGTACTGTTGGACTCCTTGGATGAGGGATAGTCTATCGCAAATATTTTTTACATTCTTCCTTTTGCAAAAAAGAGTAGAACGACAGACATCCATGTTTTGACTGGGTTTTGAACACATGATTCGAAATAGAACATTTATTTGACCACTGATCCTGTGGTGGAACGACTGCTGATAAATATGGCTTCAGCAGAATGCATAAGCTAAGGAAAACACTCGTGTAGAACAATTCTGAAGCTGACTTCGTATATTTAAATAAAAAGTTTATTGGAAATTTTCTATCATCTAGTAAAATAATGAAATAGAAACGACGTTTCGGAGATGGGGATCTATCTCCGTCTTCAGGTAGAGCCCCATCTCCGAAACGTCGTTTCTATTCTATTATTTTACTAGACGATGGAAAATTTCCAAAGAACTTTTTATTTAAATAACTCACCATCGTCACTAACTTTTAGATTTGATAAACTTAGTACATGTTCTGTTCTTTCTATTCACTGCCTTCCGTTCCAGCCTTTTCATTATCTCTATTTCATTTCACTTTACTTTATTATATCGTACTATGTTCTTATTATTTTGTGATCTTTTCTCTTTTATTCGATTTTAGTCTCTTTTATTATGTTCTATTTTATTCTATTATGTGTTTACTTTACTGTAGTTTGCTTTGTTACTAACTATTCTGTTCTGTTTACTGAAATATTTTTCAGTTCTGTTATATAGTCTATTCCATTCTATTTTACTTTATTCTGTCCACTCAGTTATGTTCATTATAATCTGGTATATTTTATTCTAGCCTCTTCTGTTATAATTTATTCTATTCTGTTTTCCGTATTCTTTGTCTTTTCTAAAAACATATAAATCCTACAGAACAAAGTCTTGTCAACAACAAGATACGTGGTTTCGACAAGTACCTGGTGGACATCAGATGTTGGAGCTAGCACCATGTGCTATGTGCCTGCGTTAGAGAGAGGGGAAGGCGAGGGGAAGTACTGATGTAGTGGGGGTACCTGTCAGCTACTGTATAACCGTTACCAGATGATTTGCTCTACACAAAGCCGGGCAGCGTTCTGCCCTGTTTAACCTCTCTGTGTATCGTTCGACCAAGCGGACTCGTCCATCCGCTAGACTCCGCTCGAGAGAACGGAGTATTATATCTGTGCTCGTGCTATGTATGACTCGTGGCGCTGGATCTACTCACTCCGCCATCCTGAACCTCCCCTTTTTGATGATCGGTGAGCGTTCTTCATCGTCTCTCTCTGGGACGTCGATTCGGCTCGTTGCCTGCTCAACCAGTCTGGGAACAGTCACAGGGATTTTCGTGTTAGACGCCGTCTCACGTAAACTCGTAATGACTGGATCTACATTGCGACACCCAGGGCCAAAGTGTGCGCATTGTCAACGTCACTAGCTTATGGGTAGAAGAAAACGCAAACCAAAGACATAATTGACACAGGAAATAAGACAGCTGGCTACAAATTACTTCTTCTGGGAAGCAGTGTTTATGGAGAGCATTTGCATCTTGTATATATGCCTTTTATTTCTAACGATCGTTAGACATACAGATTAGCCCCGACTTCAATACCATGAATTATTATCAATTCGGTTCACGTTCATAAAGAGAATGTTAAGTAGAGAGGTCGTGTTCGTGCGTCTGTCCCCATGTTTCATCTTCGAAATTGCACAACAGATTTCGATAAAATTTGGAACTGAAAAAAATTGTCTGGAATATTTAATTTTGATTTATCAGTTCAGGATAACCCTTCCTTTTACATGAAGCTCAAATCGGACTTTAACTATTATCTCAGAAGCGACTCACGGCACTAATGTACTTTACATACACTAAAATTTGCTTTTAAAATGCGCAACGTTTATTAGATTAATCTTTGTTACTTTGTTTATTGAACGAAATAATACAATCCTCTACTCCTAATTACCTTTGTCAACTGCAGGGAATTTGAGCTTCAGTATAAGAGTAAATAAACATGCAAACGTAATTGTGTCTAATACGTCAACATGAAATAGAAATACGCGCATTCGCAAAGAACTCATTTAAAGAGTCCGGAATATGGTCCATCGGCGGGCTGCTGTGAAAACGTTGTCTTCAGTTTAAGTATCAGACAAGGAATATTATTATCTTCTCAAGAGAGATTGTGCCCCACAAACTTAATTAATTATCAGTTCAGGGAAATATTTCAGTTTGTTCGAGAGAAACAACAGTCTAAATGAAATATTTCATGTGATAAATTATTTAAGTGCATATTCAGAATGAAATTTGTATTCTGATCTTGATACTTACCCCACAACGAGAAGCTGTTGGTTGTTGACCGAAACGACGGCAGAAGACAGTCTCCTTTCCGATGTCTGAATCGGGAAAACTGCCATGTCATGGGGTTCTATTAGAGGGACTGCAACTTGATTATCGTCGTGGTCAGACATGTTGAGGCTCCAGAAGTCACTGCGGACATGGATATTGGGCACACTATATCGTATAGATGAATGTCCCCGTCTCAGTTAAGAGTTGTGGAAGGTCATGGCTCCGATAAGAACATAGCATATTTTTCCAGTGCGTCCTTTTGGATTTTAACATAGCGTACCTCATTGTTGATATTGCCTTAATGCATGCACGAAGTTATTTTTTCAGGGAGGTAATGGCCGTTAACACATATCACAAGGCGTATAAATATAAGTTTTGTCCTTATATCTCGTTATATATAATCATATTGAAAAGTTATATTGAGAGATGGTTGAAGTAAAAGATTCATATCAACAGAGTGCTATAAATTTATGCTATTTTACCCGTATTTTAAGAATTTTATTTTTGATTTTAACCGTTTGAAACCAAAGCTCGTCTAAATAATATTTAATAATTCAGTCCGCACCGCAAAAAAAAAGAACGCGTTTCTATTACAAAGACCAGTCAGTTAATGTTCTTTAAAGAATAATCGCTGTTTACTCTGAGAATCTCACGAAACCTATGAATATATAATGTGGAAAAGTAAATATTATTAATAATTAATAATATTTAATAATATTTAATATATAATATTTAGTAATATATTAATAATTATTATTAAATTAAGTGTGGACTGTAAATTGCTAATAGAAGTTGAATTTTTGTCCGACGGATTAAATTCTGCTGAAAACGTTTAACACGTCTTAATTATTAAATTCAATATAATTACTACATTCTACAATACTATAATATTAAAAAGAGTTGGGGGAGGGGAAGATTGTTACTAGCGGGTTAAAAAGAACATTTACGATATTTTTATGTGCTTAATTGTATTACTCGATACACGGACGCACTGAAAGACATATTGTCTCTTCGAATTCAAAAGAGGAATGTTTTGAATTTCATATTCTTGAGCAAATTTTATTCTTGAATGTGATATTTGACGTTTTTACGGTGGTGAAAATTTATATTCTTTTCTTCTGGTTTTTGAAGACTTATTGGCCATTATTTACGTTTCGTACAAACGTACTTCTCAATCTTCAAGGTAGAGGGTACAAGATACAGTATCTTTAAATGGAGGCAGTATGTCCCTTCAGAAGACCATAAATTAAACTTACTGACGTTTAATTTTCCTGAGTGTAAATCACCATGTTTGTAAATAATTCGTCAAAGCTACGTAGATAAGCTTGTCCACTGTCGACGATCTATAACGCACAGTATTTACTATCAGGCTGCATTTTTAACTTCCATCTAAACGTGTATTATCGCCGTGGTTAATAACCACGCTGCTAAACGTAAAGGGGTTTTGATGTAAGGTTCCATGTATTTTAAACCTCAGCACTTAATGAAGATAAGTAGTAAGCTTCGTCCGACGCTCGTTTGGTCCTCCGAACAAAGTAACAAATTTCCAATTAAATATCACTCGTTAAGCGCAGAGAATAAATGAAAGAGTGCATCACGTTTGTTCATTGTATTTAATATAAACAAATAAAAGTGATAAATGACATTAACTTTAAGATGTTGGCAAGATTTCAGGTTCTCAAGGCGGCATGAATAAAAATTACTGTCTTCTGGGTCTTTGCGCAGCGTAGTCTTGTAGAAGTTTACCGACGTTTCAGAGGCTCTGCTGCTTCCATCTTTAGGGTGACCTGATCATGGAAGCACCAGCACCTCTGAAACGTCGGTAAACTTCAGTACCAGGCTATGCGGCGCCACGGTCCAGAAGACAATCATCTTCTTTAAGGATGCTGTACTAGGTTGTAACACCGTTTGGACTGACATAATACATTATTAGTACGTAGCCTATTGCGTGTCTTTGGGCGAACGGAAATTTGTAAGTGGCTACTGTTTTTGGAAGCCTAAATGTTGTTATTGCTCGTTCAGTTGGGCTTTTCTTTTCTTACATCTTGTCTGTTAAGAATCAGAAGTTATATATCTTTCTTTGAATGTACGTTATGATGAGATGATATAAAGTAAGTGTAAATTGAATTTGTTAGCAAATATTATGCTTGAACACTGTGAAGATTAACGTTCGTTAGTGAAAATAATTAAATTTTATTTGTAAACATCTTTGATTTTGTGTGTTCATAAGAATGAAGTCAGTTTTTTAAGTGGTGAGAGAAGCAAATATTTATGACTGCAACATTTGCAGTTTATTGAAATAACAGTACGAAGTGAATGAGTAATCCCTTAAACTGCCAAAGTTATTTGTGTCCACTCTCCTCTTAGGAATATTGAAAACATGAATGTTCCTTATATTTATTTTAGACTGCACTGGCTGATTCCATCTTTGCATTAGCCTTCTTATTTTTGCAGATATTCGAAGTCTTTATTCAGATAATTAGCTGAGGAACGAATGAGGGTTAAGAACTCTTGAATTTGGATTACAAATTTTCATCACACATTAATAGTGAACCCCGTTTGTTGTCAGAAAATAAAGAGAACGGGTTTCATACAATGAAAATGTATTTTTAGGTGTGTATATTTTAATATTTACAGGGCATATTTTTTTTTTGAATTATTGGAATTATTAGCGATTACATTAACGTATGTGAGAATGTGATAGTGAAACTGTGGCTCACAAATCCTTGAAACACTGTACAACTGTCACATTTTTATCTTATAAACAATTAATTAATCTTTAATATAAGTACGAAAGTGAACCTAGTGGTTCCGTAAAGGCGGAGAATTACTTAACCAGCCTTTCAAGAAAGACCATAGGTAATTTGTGTAGTTTAGTCTTCAGATCTTCTGTTGAAAGCATATTGAATTAGTATTAAAACAATTAATAAATTCTTTTGCACAGTACAGTGCCTCTTTCAATGCTAGGAACGATATATCTCGTTACCAACCACGTTCAGTTTCTACGCGCAAGTGGTCTCGAATTTTAAAAGTGAAAACAATGTCATTTCTTGGCAAATGAAGTGCATCTCTTCATGTTTCAACAATGGATGTTATAAAATCACCACAAAAGGTTAGATGGAGCAACACTAGCGCCACGTAACATGGATCCTGAAATTATTTATGGTATATTTAGTTATAAAACCACACATAATTTTAGGACTTTATGTTGTGTGTTTTAAAAAATCTTAAAAATTAACACATTTTTGTTTCTATTATTCTTTGCAAATTGAAAAACAACAGCGTAATGGCTGTATGAGACAATGAAAGAACCGGAGTCTATCAGATTCGATCGCATAACCATCTGCGCACAAATCCAGCACGCCACGACTGCTAAGGATGACAGATTTTCGTTACTCAAAGGATACCTCAAGAAATCATAGCTCGAAAAGTTACAATTGAAAGTTGTTGAAATATGGTAATAGACGTTTGGTTTCATTAATAATTTTTCTCTGAAATAAACAGGTTAAGAGAAATATCGACAAATATTGTACAAATTGTGTGCATTGAACAGTTTTTAATGAATGAACATTTGCATCGCAGAAGACAGCCATCTTCTTCTGAGGACGTCCAATGCTACTCGTACTTTCCAATTTTTTGCAATCGATAATTACAACATGGCCGAAGCACGAACTTGTCAGGTGGAATGCCACTTAGTATAGAGTTCTGAAATGCTGTGTGCTGATACAATTAAGTTGAGGCTTCAGCAACATTCAAAACTTAAGTTTCTTTGTTTAGTGACAGTATTAGTGGTGAGTGCGTAAATTGGAATTCGTAGAAGACTTTAAAACAGCTCATTGCTCTAAAATGAGTGCCACATTATTGTAAAGTTTGTTTAAAAATGAAAAATTATAGTACTTTTCGTAGAAAAAATGTTCACTTTGCTTAAATAGTATCTGAATATTTTGGCTTATGTGGGCATCTAATATTTCCTTTTGTTGTCAACAACGAAACGTGTTGCCTTCACAGATTCTGCAGTGAAATGACGAGGAAATAAATACGTATGTTAAAAACGTAGTTTTTTTACTGAAATTTAAATATCCTGAACTTTTTAAAGGGAGTTGGGTAAATGTTGCATTTAAAATTGCGATTAACATTGTTGACGTGTTTATCAAACCTTTTCGGAAGAGTCAGAGCATTCAGAATGTCAAGGTGGGAAAATGCGTGTGGGAACTACTTTTTCCGGTGCAGATTACACTTTTATAATATTATTCTTTGAGATTATTTTTCGGTATTATAATTATTTAAGGAGTTCCTTGCGTGTGGATAAATAATTTGTGACTTCAACTCTTTGACGCTGGTACCTCTTCAGTTTAATAAATAAACCAAAATTACCCCTTGTACTTTATACAATAGCCTATATGCCAAGGATGTTATAAACCACTACAACAGACAAATAATTTATCACACTTAGCAGAATGTGTATTTGACCTGGTCATTACCCACTGAAGTATACCAAATTACCCCTCGAGGTGTAATTCCCCGCGGGTTATGAACCACTGCCCTACGTTATGTGTTTTTCAGTGTGATTAGTTTTTAAAAAATATATTTGTGTCTGCAATTAATCAAGTTCAGTGCCAAATAAAAGAAGCAGTTCAGAATCGTATTAAACGCATTTGGAAGATATATTGGAGTGACCACTTCCGTTCTCGTCTCCCTTGTGACGTCACACCACTCCGCGACAATTCCAAAGACTTACCCTGTTCTTGCAAATACCAGTGTCTTTGCCGCCTGCAGAAGCTAAACTGCACATGAAGATTCAAAGTTACGACCTTAACACATCGACCTTGTGTCGTCACCATCACCTTCTAATTGTGGTAACAGAAACTGCAAACGGAGAGTTGATTCGACCTGGAACAACTCAACGTAAAGCAATGTAAAAACTGCCATTGCCCAGTGATGGATAGAGGCCATCAGCTTTGATACACATATGTATGAAACTTTAAGTCCGTTGTAAATCGTTCATGTTTTGAGGTTTTCAACGAAAAGACAGTCTTTGCTTTAATATCTTCAATTTGTGGATGCTGCAAATGGTTAAAGTTCCAAAAAATAATAGCACAGATGTATTTTCGATGATAATTACATATGCCTAACACGCTCAGGGAACACCGATTCGATGATTTTTTAATTTTTTTTTTACAACACTGTGCCCTTTCTGATGCCGCATAATTATTTTCTATGCATTATTATTTTTTTATTATATAAAGCACAATTCAAATGCCATAATTCAATTTATTTTTATTGCGGTATGGAGTCTGTTGCAGATTATCCATTTTTATTTTAAACCTCCTTATTATTCTTTGCAAGGTATGCTCGCTTTTGACCCGTTACGAAAGCAGACAAATTACTTTTCACATTTCTTCTATGTCTTCTCACATCTGTACTTCTCTTCGGTCTATATTTATCAGTGTGTCTTATGATATCCCATGAACGTGATTTCTTAATTTCTAACGAATTCTGATAAACTAGTCTCATTTCATTAACTTTCGAAATATGTTTTATATTTAGATTTTTCTCTGTCCTTTAAACTTTAAAGTTTAAAGGACTTGACATAGAAATCTCACTGTCTGCAAGAAGCCAGCAGTCTCCCCCTTGTTTTGATGAAACTGTATGAAATCATAATTAATTATTTTATTCGTTTGTAGAGAACGTGTTTATTGTATGCTGTGAAATTTTAATTGGAATGTTTAATAGTTTCTACACTGGATATCCTGCAGTCCAGATATTTCAAATATTTGACACGGTTATGCATTTTGTCGTTCAGAATTCCTTATACTATGCCGACCTACTTGAAACCATTTGAATATAACTGCATCGTATTACCGACTAGAGTTGCAGACAGTTTTCTCGGTTTATCATCGGTGCGCCGAATCGCCATATTTTCTGTCGTGAATCTCCACACACAAGCAGTTTAATAATATCAATATATTTTTTTAATTTCCCAGATGCATTGATTATAAAATTGTACCAACATTGTTTTCTGTATTTCTGAAGAGATTTCTCTGTTGGCACACTTAATTATTAATATTTTTATGTGAGAATTTTTAATTTGAAATTGGGATTAAGAAATTGTGTTCATATTGTAGGGTCTTAAACGCGGAGTAGCGTTATTGATCCTGTTTAATTTTTATCTAAATTACGCATTAATTGTAGTTGCTTGTTACCTTTATCTATCCTCTAAAATTAAAAAGAAACTTAGAAACAAACGATTTGAAGTTTAGTGTAATGTACATGAAGTGTATTGCCATTTAATAAGGCTTTTCTGTTCATCAGTACACTGCCACAGCGAAACGTCTGCCACTCTATCATACTGAGTTGTGCAAGTGTAAAACTACGTGTTACTACACGTTACGCTAAGTTTAATCATGTGCTGGCCTAAAGATAGACTGACGCTAAATTAATTGTCTGGCACACTAGTTAACGACACCAAATTCACAAATGTTGTTGCTCAGGATTGACTACACTGATGTTAATGGTTGAAGAATAAGGAAAATTTAGGGATGTTTATACAATTAAATTGACGTTATTGTTAACTGTTATTGTCATTATATAATAAAATTATACTTACATTTTATTTGATCTCATATTTTTGCCTTTTGTTAATAAGGTACCTAATTGGTATCAAGGTTGTTGTGTTGGCAATCACTAGGTTCATATCACTGTTTTAACGGTTTAGGTTAGACCAATAGGCTTACTAATGACTTTTTTTGTGAAGTGACTATCTGTAGGTTAATGGATCTTGGAAAAATTGTTTTGTAGTAAAATATTTTCGGAGGATATTTACTAAACTTCTCTCGAACAGGATAAAATCAGTTTCATCTTGCGTCTTTCACATTGGACACAGGTTTGTGTAAAGCAAATATCGTGTGTACGAAAGGAAACGCTACAGGGTGTGTTTTAGGGACCAATTAATTTGTTTCTAGAAGTATAAGACCAAGAACTCACTCGACAGTTTTTGCTAGGAAATACTGAAGACATATCGCCATCTGGTTGCGGATTGAAGAGAGGGCTTCAGACAGCTGTGATAATTATGATTATATTGGGATTAACATTCGCGGACAGCCGACGAAAGGTGGTCATATTCACCGCTGTGAGAACCTCAAGTCTTACGTGGTCCTCCATCTTGGGCGCTGGAGGATGGACTAACAACTTCTCAACGTAAAACAAAAACTCCGACATGTTTAAAAACCGTTTCACGGGACGTAATTTTTCGTCGAAAACTTGAAGATAGGGGATTATTTCGGAAAGATAGAGGTAAATTCAGTTTTACACTGGGTTTTAGAGAATACGGAGCTAGGATGTTGTCTGGATTTATCTGACTCGGGATATACGTCGACGGCGGATTCCTGTGAACAAGGTAATGGAACTTCGGGTTGCCGAAAAGAGGGGGATTTGTTGATGAGATCATTAATTATCAGTTGCTCAAGGCCTTTGGTCCATGGAGTTATTCAGTTAGCTAGTGAGGGAAAGAATGATGCACGATGTTGCCAAGTTCTAATTGCTGTTACGTGTGATGTCAGAAGGGAAGGTTAAGTTCAAGTTGAAAATATTGAGTATTGTCTCTCCTCAATAACAGCCATTTACCCTTCTTATCTTTTGAATCTTGCCATGTTTTGATGATTAACTACTGAGAATTTTCGGGTAGCTGTTTATTTATTATTTATATGAGTATAAAATTCTTTGTGATGAAATCCTGTGTTTTCCTCTGTCGTCTAAATGTTTGGCGTTCAAAATAATCACAGCTTTTTATTCATATACGGACATCGGTATTTTACACACCAACTTATACTAACTGACAAATTTCCTTGAAACGTTTTATGTCCAAACCAAGCAGATTCATTTCCCATATGATGGAGGCAGTAAGTGCTTCTGAAACGTCGGTAAACTTCTACCACACTAGATGGCGCAATATTCTAGAAGATAGTCATCATAACTTTGAGTGTACCTTGGTTTTACCTTCACCTCGAAGCGTTTGGGCAACGCAGACTCTCGTATTATTGCGTAATAATTTGCATGCGTAACAGTGTTTTTAATTTTACTTCGTGGGCAATACGGTGTTCACTAGCAATAACGAGAAGTTATAGCCCGTTGAATAGAACCAAATTGAACGTAAAAAGTTGACGGAGAGACGACGATGGTAACCATGCCGAGGGATATCCAAAACAATTTTTTCTGAGTTCAAGTCTCTTTCAGGAACTGGCAGGTACGGATATCAATGTCAATCCCACTTTTGCTGATTAATTCTTATGTTATCTAAAGCCGCTTATTCGACCGAAGGGAAGAGACCTCTTGCTATAACTGGGTGTTTGTGCGCAGAGGGATCTTAAATAAACGGTGCATCGGGGTGTAGACTGTTTTAAACTGATTTAGGATAGCCCAGAGGTGGGCTTGGAAACGGTAAATAATATTTTGGCCCCATAAATGACGCGGAATTTCATAATCAGCTATTTTTTGTTAGGTTCCAAAAAAGGATTTTGCTCAGTTGCTCTATATATTTGTCACCTTACTGATATTATAATTACGAATGATCAGTTAATAAATAATTGGAAATTTTAAGAACACGATATATTAATGTCTGGATAATTGGGCTCCCATCTCGAAGTTGGGACCAGGATCTCCAGAACAGGACTTTGAGTTGATAATCATTATACCACGACGTTTGGCCTAATCTTCAGTGTGAATTATAGTAATTTTCTGTGGTTTCTTATGTGTCAGCGAGTAAGGAATGTTACAAACTAAAGTCTATTTGAATGTATGTCCTTTAGTGTGTTTTGTTTTAGAATGTTTAGATGTCTGATAAACATCATACAAAGTGGTTGTTATACTGTACCAGTGAAATGGTTGTCTTCTTGGTTGTTACGCCGTGTAGTGTGGTAGAAGTTTACTGGTATTTCAGAGGTCCTTCCCCCCCCCCCCCCCCCATCATCATCAGGGCGTACACTGTCTGCATTGAGCATATAAGAAAATGTTTTAAGTTTTCTCGAATTTTATTAATGTGCATTAAATTGTGTGACAAAAAGCGGGAGTCAGAAGAAGAGTGTGAGGTTGAATACGAAGGAAGTAAAATATGTAGATACAAGAAGAAATTGAAGAGCGAGATGTGATTGTAACGCGTAATGAATATGATGAAAAGAAGCGATCTTTAAATTGTAAATTTAAAGAATAATTTGAAGGAAGACGAGAGGAAATGAGCAGGTAGTGAAGTTATAAAATGGAGACCAGATATAATGTTGTATGATTTGAGGTTTTCACAGCGGTGAGTATGAAGCTTTCTGTCTTCTGGGTTGTTGCGCTGTGTAGTCTGGTCGATGTTTCCTAACGTTTCAAAGGTCATACTGCCTCCGTCATCGGGGCGATGAATCTGATTTTTATCTGCATAAAGCCGATAAATGTCGAAAGTTTAAAGTATTTGGGAAAAACAGTAACTTGTTGTAATTATTATAATATGATAAAATTAGGAGCGTATTGAATCCGGAGAATAGTCGCTACTAAGAATGTTTTGTCGCCCCGTCTCCTCTCCAAAAACATAAAGATCAAATCATAAAGAATGCATTATTTTATCTGCTCTTTTATGTGGATCTGAAAGTTTGTTTGTCATCTTGAGGGAAGACATAATATATTGAGTGTGTTTGAGATCAGGGAGCTGAGAAGAACATTCAGACCAAGAAAACATAAAGTAACAGGAGTGTGGAGAAAACAAGAAACTGAGGAGCTTCACACTTGTTCATTTCACGAAATGCTTCAAGGTGTTCAATTCATTGAGGATTAGATGGGTGTTGCATATAGCACGGATAGGAAGAAAAGAAATTTCATGCGAACATTTT